AAATAGGAAGAAAAGGGGCAAAGGGGAAGGGGAAGTGGGAGGGGTAGAGGAAAGGAAAGAAGGGAATGGAATTAATATGAGAAAATGAATAAAAGGAAACAAAGTCTGTAAATAGGGAGGAATGGAGGCGGTGAAGGGAGGGCAGGGGAAGGGGGAAAAAATAACCAAGAGAGATTATGTAAAGGTGCATATCTCCAATGATGAATGTCATTACATTGTACACCTAAAATGTACCAATAAAATAAAATTTTTTTTTTAAATAGAAAGAAAGCAGCCCAGCGAGGCCCCTGGGCCAGATGCCTGGGGACACAGCCAGGTAAGTGAGCTCTACAAGAGAAATTCCCTTGTCACAATATCCCTCGCCTTGTCTTCAGCCCTGTCTTTACGTTTCCATTCTCCTTTTGCTCAAATACCAATAATAGCATGATGGTGGGAAAGGAGTTTAAACCAACCATAAATTGAAATCTACAATGAATTCAAATTATTTGCTTTTATAGAATCATGAGGCAAATTAACTTTGAGCTGTAGTGTTTAATAAACATTTAATTTCAGAATAGATTTATAGAAAAGTTGTGACAACTATCATCAACATCTTTCATGTACATTTGTCACCACTACAGAACCAAAAACACGGGACATCATTACAGACCACAGCCCATACTTCATTCAGATTTTTAACTCTTTGTTCTGCTCTTCCCTGACTTCCTCTTCTGCCCCAGGATTCCATGCAGGATTCCACATCACACTCACTCGTCAGGTCTCTGTAGTCTCCTGCACACTGTGATGGTTTTTCAGACTCCTCTTGTTTTGGGTGCCCTTGAGGAGCATTGGTGGGGTCATTTGTAAAATGCTTTTCCATGTGGGTTTATCTGATGTTTTTCTAACGGTGAGACAGGGGTTATGGGTTTTTGAAAGGACAAGCCCAGAAGTAAAGTTTCCTTCTCATTTTGTCTCATCAGGCATTACAGGACTTATCACTATTGATTTAACATGTATTTCTAAAGAAGGTGAATCATGTGGTGAGCCAGTCTGAGCAAGAAATGGACCTGTACGTTTTCTAAAATGACTGAAATGGCACAAAATCAGATTGCCGAACTATCTTGAAACCAACAATGTTTCATTTAGTCCAAGTGTCTGGTTGTGAGGTTTAGGCAAGCTCCTCTATAGAAAACACTTGGAGTTCTGTAGAGAAAACGAAACCTTAAATATAGAATGCAGGTAGCATGCCATGTCTGAAGAATTTTATTGAACAGAGAGCGAGCGCTCAGCCATTATACAACACCAGCTGTGGAACCCTGCCTGCTCAATCTACAGGCCTAAAATCCCTGGAAGACAATATTAGCACTGAACCAGACTTCCAGATTTCCTGCCTCCTCTGAATTCATATCATTTCCAAATGGCTGGGTTGCTCCTAGGAGCCTGTACCATTCATTGCCTTGTAGGGAAAGCACTGGCAGAATCACTTTCCATTTGTTGCGTAAGAACATCATCTTCATTTAAGTGATTTAAGCCCGATTAAATTTAGCTGCCAGCTTTTAAAGTACTCTGCAGAGCATTCCAACCCAGAAAGGGAAGAGCCATGCCAGCAGGTTCCCTGCAATCCTCTGCCTCCTACCTTTGTGCAGGCGCCTTTCCAAGCAGCTGGGCCAGGCGTCACCGTCACCGGGAGAGTGATCCTCTGCCAGGCTCTGAGGTGTCTGGCTGAGCCGATCTTCCCACCCTGCAGCCCTGCTGGGGAAGGCAGTGGGGCCTCCCTGCACTGCCTGCCGCTTTTGCATTGTTCTGGTCTCAATTGCTTCCTTCTCTTTCTTGCTTCTAAGGTAAATGCAGCCTGTGGTTTTTGTTTTGTATTTTACTTCTATATTTAAAATGGGGAGGGGGTTGTCTTTCCATTTTTTGCTTTTTGACCAGCCTTGTGCGTTTCTTCTTGCTTTGGCTCTCCCACTCTCCCATCATTTACCGAACACTCGAAGCCACACGGGAGCACTGGATGAGCAGTTTCTCCTAACGAGCGTCCGTCTTTTTGTTTGCTTCCCACTCCCTTCCTGCCTTCAGAGTGAGGGCAGGCAGAGGGGGCAGGAATGGGGATGTGGCTGTACAGCCGTCCTCCCTGGAGAGGGCCGGCCCATCTCGCGGTGGCACACACAGTTCCACAGACCTCCTCCCACACCTTTCCGATTTGTTGTTTTAATAACACAAAAGGTCTCATTTGTGCAAATTTTGTGTTAGGGTTTCCATTTCACTCCCATGTGCTCATTATTTGGAAAACTAAGCAGAACAACTAAATGACCTAAAAAGAGGTCCTCGGAATCCTTGAAGTGGGTTATGGCCGTTACACACAGTACTGCCTTCCCTTGATCAGTACCCTAAAAGAATGTATAAAATGGTGTTTTGTAACCAGGTCCAAATGCTCCAGGCTTGATTAATTATCGGGGCCTAGCTTAGATGTTACACAATTGCCAACTACTTTGAGGTCCCCTGTTCTAGCCCAGTATACCCAGCTGGATAAACAACAGTCCAAGCTCAGCTTCCTGAACAAATGGTAAAAATTGATAATGTTCTACATTTCTAGAAGCACAGGTGCTTCAGATCAATAGGGGTAATCTTGTGGAAACAACCAACGCAAAGTCTTTTTATGAGAAAGAGAGCTTTTGTGTTTACAAGCTCAGGTTTGGGAAGAAGTGGGAATTTTCTTGGTGCTAAAAATGTTTCCTTTAGAGCTAATGGGTTGGTAACATTGCTGTGGTTTATTGAGCTCTTAGAAAAAGAAGAAAAGAAAAACAAAACAATAAAAGTAATAAAACTCGAACTACCACCATCAGCTTATTACAGCAGTTAACTTCCTGCTTATGAGTTTTTCAAAGATGACTCCCATGAAAGCTTGAGATAAATACACTCTTATGAGAAAGATAATCATTCTCTAAGCTTGCTCTTATCAGAACATACCCAGGTAGAGATGGAGAGTCCTACTGGAATAGGAGTTTTCAGTGACTTAGAAAGGTTTCTCACGATTGAATGGATAACTTCATAATTAAGTTTGTGAGTCCAAGTTTATCCAGATTCCACTGTACATGATATGGATATTCTCTACCCAAACTCTCGGAAGACAGATATCCCTCTGTAAATTACAGGCAAATGACAAAATACCCATTTTAGCTTCTCTCCAGTTGGGAGAAGTAAGGTAAAAGTAAGTGTCGTTCTTATGGTGAAGATACATCATGTGACTTTAAACAGATCTTTAACCTTCTAGGCCTCTGCCCTTTGGTGTCTAAAACAGGGAGTTGAACTAGGATCCAGTGCTAATAATCTGGACTTCTAATTAAAAGTGATGAAGAACGAGGATTCTGCAGTCAGATAGGCCTGGTTTCAAACACCAGCTCCACAACTGTGTAGCTATACATTCTTGGGCAAACCAGTTAACTGTTCAGAGCCTCAATTTCCTTATCTGTAAAATGGCTATAGTAATAGCACCTATTTGAAAAAGCTGGGATAAGGATTAAATGAGATAATTACATGAAATCCTTACCTTTGGGCCTGGCTTATAATAGGTGTTAGATAAATGTTAGTTTTCATTAGTAAAGGCCACAATATTATAACAAAGATAAGTTAAACGTGGTTTCCATTTTATTGCCACAAGTTGATCAGTTTTTATAAGAATGAATTAGTTGGGCCAATGAGTCATGAGAGATCAAGACTCTTATTGTTCCAACTGCAGAGGCTGATGTTAACAATATGGCGTCCGTATTCCTACTTCTAATGTTTTTGATGCCAAACAGTATTAGAGGTGTTGTGAGTACAGATGAAATGTTGCAGGGAGAGGGGATAGGGGATATTCTGATTCCTAATCAAAATACTATGGCTGGTCCAAATCAAATCCATAGCATCAGAGCACTTCTTGATAAATGAAAAGGATGGAGATGGAGAGGAGAATCAAGGACCATGATACTGACCAGGGCTGAGGAAGGCCTGTCTTCTAGTCACACTTAAGGTAACGGAGTGCACTTGAGCAAGATGTTTGAGCCTCAGTTTTCTCCTTGTTAAAATCAGGATCATAGCCGCTCGGTCCTTCCCATTAGACCAAATCAGATGATGTACGGTCTCAGAGCCTCCTGCAAATGCAAGGTAATCAGTGAAAGATCCCAAATGAGAAGAGCAAAGCAATACTGAAGTAAGTCCAAGGAAATAAATGCTTTCAGTTCTTTGAATTTATTTGAAATCAACAATTTCCCTTTTTGATTTTCCTCATCTGAAGTGTGTATCTAATTGCTGTTCTATACAAACAATGACTTTCACCTGGAAAGTAAGGCTGGCAGATTCCCCTGCCCATTGGTTGGATCCATGGTCTCCCTGTGGGCCAAGTGGACCTGTAATCATCGTCTTTGTGTCTGTCTCTCCCCATTAGGATAGCAGGTCCACAGAACCAAAGACTTTGCCTGCCTAGTTTACCAGGCTATAATACTTGACCCTTGACAGGTAATCAATGTTTGTTGAAAGAAAGAATACACAAAGGTCGCCTCCCCATCAGAAGACTGAAGTGGAAGTCCTAGAAAAAGAAACAAAAGTAGAGAGAGAAGTTCTGGCAATGATTCAGCAGGATCCTTTGCTATGCACCCCTTCCCCGGCTCCTCTTGCTCCCTTGACTCCATGGGGAGAAGGCTGATTATTGCTGATTTAATATACTTTTTAAACCCAAGCCGAAAATAACTTCAAAAGATGATGCCATTCTGGCCATACATAGTGCTACAACTGTGAGATGCCACTTATAGTAAAGTAAAATACAGTCTGACTCTTTTTGGTTGCTCTTGTGATGAAACAGTGGTTTTGGCTGACTTTAAAACTGCTGCCTAAATGAAAGGATGAGAATCTTCTGGGAAATGTAGCCTCTTAATGGAAGGCTGAGGTTTGAGATGGTTCCCACGCAGTGATTTTTTAAATGCTAGTTGGTCACACTGCAGCGGCTGCACCTCTATCATAATGTTATATAATTACTGTGCAACTTTGTCACTGCCTCTTACAAAATGGATTGAAACTTACCCACCTAGGTCAGCTCCACTGCTGACACTGTTCCAGAATCTGCAGAGTTCGTTGGAGTTGCATTGGCAGAACTAGGGAAATTGGCTTGTGTGGCCACCACTCTGTAAGGGATAACATAAAACCAACATTTTGGGGACAAATGGCTTGAGAAAAACTGAGCTCAGTGCCTTAGTAAATGTTTGATCTAAGTGACTCCTTCCCCCACTCCCAAACTTTGACCTTTAGCCTAGCATGTTGGAGCCTGAAGCATGTGAGAAGCTATTTTAGTCAGAACTCTGGGATGTGGGTAACAGAAGCTGACTCCAAATATGTTAAGCAAACAGACACAGTGGAAGGATCTAGAGTAGCTTTCAGAACAGGAGGAGAAGCTGAAGAGTCTACTTTATAAAACTACAAGAGAAGCTAGGAATTCAGGTTTGGGGAATAATTTTGTAGTTTCCTTAGTTCCGTAGCCACCAGGGTAAATGATTTCCAACCATTCTGTTACTGTCACTTCTCGGGACATTGAATTCCAGGTCAAGAGCATCCGATAGGTCTCTTCAGGGAGGTGCTCAGCCTCCCTTTGTCAAGGACAGGGGGAGGGACGGAGGAAAGTGAGTCCCCCCAAAATCAAGTCTCTCCTTTCCTAGCCTGCTGTGGCCTGGTGGCTCCCCGTTGGCAGGGGAAGATGGAGTTGGTGCTGTGAGAAGGAGGCATGGAGGTGCGTCCACTGCTGTCTGGCTCACATCTCACAGGTCTACCTTTTCCCTTCTCCATGCCCTGAGCTGTGAATTCAGCACAGCAGTTATTTCCATAGGAAAGCAGCAGCGTGTGCTCTTTCTCCCTGGGAACAATCTGAGATGTGTGTGCAGCTTAGAACCTTGAAGAAGGAGAAAAATGAGTGAAAGGAGTGGTGGTGGAGGAGGCAGAGGCTGGTACCACGCCCTCCTGTTGAGCAGCTAAGCTGCCTCAGTTTTCCTGGAGATAGCACACTTTCAATTTGATTTGGGAGAAACCTCAATTCTATTTCAGCTGCAGTACCCAGAATTTTTGTTGGTGATGATTTTAAATGGAAAGGGAAAATAAAGATACAAGAATTCCTTTCATTTCTTTTTCCACAACTGACCTCTCTGAAGTTTTTATTACATGATATAATCATTTTTTTCATTGATTAGGCAAACAAAAAGTATATAAGGGTGCCAGGAGAACAGAGAAGTTACTGGGGAGGCCCCTTCCTCAGGCAGCATGGTTATCTGTGCCTTTGGGAGCCTCCCAACTCTCCCATCCTGGGTTTATTCTGCCCCTTGTTTCCATATAAGTAACCTCTCAGGTGAAAACAAACTAACAACCCATAACGCACCCCAGATTTCACCCAAATGCATCCCAGGGTGGAACTAAAGAACAATTCTCACTAGACAAGAAATGTCTTTCAATTAAATGTCATGCCTGTGCAGGTTCTAGTTAGGAAATAATCTAAATCTGTTACTGTTGTACGGAATATATGGGTTTGTTTCTCCCTTAAACCCACTGTGACATTCTTAAAAATGTTGGTATATCTTATATCACTAGTAAAAAGTTAGTAATTGACTTTCATTATTTTCATTATGAAATAACATATGCAAAGACACTTGTCGTAATGCTTGGCGTGTGACAGTATCTTGTAATATCTTCAATGGACAAATATGTAACTCAAAGATGAATAAGGTTATCAGGAAATTCTTCCTTCAGAGACTTCAGTGTCTATTGAGGAAGAGAGCAAATTAACAAGAGACTGGAACAAATGAGACAAAGTGTACTGTCTGCTGCACATAGGTCCCTCTTTATAATCAACATTTGGTGGGTAAGTGCGGATTTTTGACAACTCAGCATTCATTCCACCTTGATTTCCACTGGAAAGTCTAGTGATATGTTAAACACAGGCACTTTCAACACTCCAGTCATCAACAAACTGCTACCTGGCCCAAGTTGGAACAGAGGGCAAACCCCAAAGGGAAGAAGGAGGATAGAGAGGTTGAGAAATGATATGTGATTTGTTTGGGGGCTGAGTAGTGGTGATACTATTGCCTGATTCCGAGACAAATCCCTCCCCACCCCACCAGTTTCTATCCATTTCTGAGTCTTCTGGTCCATCCTGAAAGCTGATAGGAACATTTCCAATAACCATAACTTCCTGTGGTTAAACAATGGAAAACATCAAAGGTCCTCTTGTGAAAAGTGGGGTGTAAGACTGAAAGCAAGAGAGCAGTGAGGGGTCTACTGCAGTGAGTGGTGGTAAGAGACTGAACTCACTGTCTGGATGCAGAAAGGGAGGACAGACTACAGAATACGAAGAGATAGACCTAGCTGGTCTTGGTGGTGACTGGATGCAGAAAGCAAAGAATACAAACACATAAGATGAAAAATTTCTCAGTGAAACAAAATAGGGCAGCTCTCTAATCTCCGTTGTGTCTGTTTGGATTTGGCCTTGGTTTGGGAGCTTTTTTCAACTTGCTAAGTCTGCCTTCTTCCATCTCCATCCTCCCAGCCCTGTGACATACACATCACTTCCTGTAAAAAAAAAAAAAAATTCCATTATCCTGGAAACTTGGCAGGGATACCAAACTACTCTCCTCACTTCATCTTCTAGGGCCCAGGGGTGCATGTTCAAGAACATTCTTGGAAATAGTTCTGGATAGCAGGTAGCACTCCAATATCAACAAGCATACTGTAAGGATGACCGTGTGTCACAAGGATATTTACTTAAATTTGTGATCCCAATGACATGATCACCTACGTGACCACAGCCCACTCAGTTCACATAGCCTGACCAGGTATTCCTAAGGTGTGCTGTGCTACCAGGTCTGTTACAAAGGAGAGGTGCTGAAGTTCTTCTGGTCATGTGGAAGGAATTCAAAAGTGCTAGGGTGTGCAGAGCTGGACTTAGTGGACCGTGTTTTCCACTGAAAAGGAGCACATAGGGCACAAACAGAGAGCAGCTTGCATGAGTCAGAGCATACCCTGCCTGCTTGTCCTTTGCACCATGTCTTTTAAACCAATAAATAGAGTAACACCCATAGCTACAACCTCTTATCTGCAGGAAAATAAGCCAGTAGCAAAGTTGAGCCAGTCACTGAACAAGAATCTACAAGAACCAAAGACTCCACTCTCCCTAGAAAGCCCCTAAGCCCTGGATTTGGGGGTTCACTTGTGAGATGGAAAAGATGAGTTGACAGTCTGGTTGGGTTTTTCTTATTTTCTCCTATTAGAAGATACCGCAGAAACTGCAGATCTTAAAAAAAAAAAAAGAAAGAAACAAAAATCAAATATTTCAACCAACACATCAATGGTATCTGGAATATCACAGTATTTCTTGGATGATCCCTTGAAAGATAAAATCATAATGGTAGTGTGTTACAGTAACTTCTGGAATCTCAGCATTTTCAAAATCATGTCATTGAATAACTCGTATGTAGGGTTGTTCAACTATGTTCCTTCAGATTGTGAAGTAAATCTTTTTTTTTTCATTAGATTCATTGGTACATTTTAGGTATACGATACGATGACATTCACCATTGGGAATTTGTACCTTTACATGACGTATCTTGGTTCTTCTTTCCCCCTTCCCCTGCCCTCCCTTCAACCCCTCCACCCCTCCCTATTTACAAAGACTTTGTTTCCATTTTCTCCTTTTCTCATATTTTTTCCTTTCCCTTCTTTCTTTTCCCCTATATGAAGGAAATTTTAAGGGATGATAGGAAGAGAAGATAAAAAGATATCTCACAATTTATGCCTTTGGACAAATTTGCTAGATGACTATTAGATCATTATATGTGTTGCTGCTTGTTCACCTGTGTTTCATTTCAAATAAAATTTCTCAATTTCTTTCAACAAAGCTTACTTCGTAGAAAAGCCTCAAAATCAATTTGTGCTGCTTCACCAGTTTTATGCATTTTAAATTTAAGGAAACAACAATTAAGACATTTTCAATGATGAAAAGAACTCTATTAAGCTGCCACAAATGTCAAAAGTTCCTGGTTATGCTAACACTTTTGTAATTGTTCTGGAAACCCCACGCACCGGAATAGACCTACAACACCAGGCATGACTCACTGAATACTTCTATGTACATACCGTCTCTAAAACGCTCTCCAGTTGGGATTTGTTTTCTTCGAAGAAAAAAAAAGATGAAATATGGTGCAACAAATCCAAAAGTTCATACTGTGAGTTTTGGGGGAAGTTCTTTTGCCTCCTCACACAAGAGCATTAGAAGACGCTGCAGTTTTCATTAATAAAGTAGCCAGATGGGCTAACATTAAAACAGGTTGAAACTTTGAAATTCTTCCTAGAGAAAAAAAAAAAAAAGCATAGAGAACATGTGGGTTCTCAGATTTCCAAATGGTCTTCATTTCCTCTTGTGACTTTATTCCAAAGTTTGTTTTTAAAAAATTGTGGGTGCTAGCATATGACTGGTGTTCTAGTCTCCTGAGCTCCTGAGCAACGCTAAAGAAAATGTGGGGTGGCACGTGAAGGCCTGGATCTACAGTGCAGAGGCTCATTGGTACCCTCTAATCACCTGTACTGAACGTTCTCTGTAACTTCAAATACTTGGAGTGGATGTACCAAAGCATATGGCATCCCAATATTCTGGATTTCCCCCAAAGTGTATGTTTGGTGGAACTTCCCATACTAACGTGGTGCATTTTTTACTAGAAATATTCAGGATTAGAAATATTCAGTTTAGAAATCAGTGGTGAACCAAATCAGACTTGGCAGTGCAACTCCAACAGGTAACTTAAAACAGGTTATAGATGGGAACATACATCTGCATGCTAATAGAGTTCTGCCATTTGGTTGTCATCAGGGACTTGCAATGAGAAGTCATCCCAGTCTCAGAAAAACTTAGAGGGACAATGTAGAGGAAGGAGCAAGGCCAAAACCCAATTATGGAACTGGAACATGAAGTAGAGCCTTTGAGAAGGAATCGAATGGAAACCTCGCGGTTGGCAATGGAGCAGGAGCTCAGAGCAGAGCTTGGGCCTGGCTGACCTGACACTGAGCCACATGAGCTGTTTCCACCTCTTAGGCCTAAGGGCAGACCAGACCGGCCAGCACCTGTGACAGCACTGAGCTACAGAAGGTCTGGGTGGTTTCGGCCAGAGGCTGAGCCTGAGTGTAGGAATGCAGGGGGAGATGCCAGGCAGAATGGCCAAAGAACACCCACACTAAAGTCCTCTTGGCTCCCACTGCTGTTTTTCACAACTTCATCCCTTTGGCAAGCTGGTTTTGTAACATGGAATGCCTGAGCCCAATTTTGGGGGACTGTTTATCCTTTAGGATGGAGCTCAAAACCCACCTTCTCTAATATACCCTTCCTGATTGCTACGCTTTGTATACATCTCTGTGATGACACTTACTGCACCTCACTGTGTCCTGTTCTTTTTAACAAGTCTCTCTCCCTGCCTAGCCTTAAGTTTATTGCCCAGGCAGCCTTGACATTTCCTGGGTCCAGCATAGCACCAGCAGAGAATAGGATCTCAATAAATGGTTGATGAAAGGAAATGAATGGCGTGATTAAGTGAATAAATGTTTATTAAAGGAAATCAATCAAATAACAGATTAATACCATACACTGATATAAAACACAAAAGAGTAAGAGCAGATAAGGTGTGTATTCTTGACTATCTTGGTCCCTACGGATTACCTTATTTCACCAACAATGCAAGACGTTAAGTGCTGCTCTAACATCCGTGTTACGGACAAGAGAATGGAGCCACTGTAGTAGTCTTGAAGAATGTGGGCTCTGACCTGGGATTTGCATGTTCTACTTAGTGACAGAATCCCTTGGCCTTCACTCCACCACAAGAGATACGGTCACTGTTGGTGGTGGAGAAAGTGTGTTAGGAGGCTCTGCCGTGTCTCTGTTGCCTTCTTCTCCCTTGTGTCTTGGATTAACAAGAAGAGTACATCCCTTGCAATCCTGTGGACAGGTCCTCCATATTTGCCTTTCCTCTCCGGATTGTAGAGGCCTTCCTAGAATTCTCCTGTAACCTGTTTACCCTGCTAGCCCAAGGGTATGAAATATAGCAGGAATTGAAACGAAATAATAAGGAATTAAAGAATAAAAGAAAAAGAGGGTGGGGATTTAGCTCAGTGGTTCTGCCGCCTGCCTCGCAAGCACAAGGACCCGAGTTCGATCCCCAGTACCAAAAAAAAAGAAAAGAATAAAAGAAAAAGAAACCAATGCCAGGCTGGGGATTATTGCTCTGTGGTAGAGCACTCACCTAGCATGCACAAGTCCCTGGGTTCCATCCGCTCACCACATACACATTCTCACACACACACAATTTTCACACTCACTGAAAATGCTTGTCTGCCTTGTACACGCAAAGCCCTCTACATACATTTTCCTCTTCAGTCATCACTCCACTAATGGGGCACTATTTCTTTATCCCACAACTAAAACATAAAGCACCCGAGGGGCTCTAAACTTTAGCAAGGGGCCCAGCCGACCCTTGTTTGGTGCAATTCAACACTTGCCACGCACCTCCTATGGAGGTGTGCTCTCCCCACATAGCATGTGGCCACCAATACTCCTTGGTGTTGGGGACACGGCCCTACTCACCTTCACCGGCTCTCATTCAGAACTTCCTTTAAAAGCATGACATTAGTGGCAGTTTTGTGGTCTGTTTTTTGGAAAAAGTCACAAAGCCCCATTCATGGATGTAAAATCTTCAGCAGCACTTAGAGAGGAGCTAGGTAAGATGGTGGGTGAGATGAACAGCACTTCCAGTTGGAAAATTCAGAATCCTCTTTCCTCTTTCGCTCTTTAACAACTGGTGTGCTCATAGCCCACCTGCAGCTGTTTTCGGTGACCTGTTCCTGACAGACACTAACCTGTTGAGATAAGGCACCAGGAAGAGAGACGAGGGCCCTGTCTGCAACCCCGCGCTGTTTGCTTTGCAAAATTCCAGACTGTTTAATCTGCTCTACCTCATCCTAATAATTCCAGATTCCACTTTTCATAATGACTTTCCCCTCCTTAAATGCCTACACAGTTATCTTTGAAGGAGAAAAAGCATAGATGAATCATTTGCAGGAAATAGGGGGGAGAGACGTGTGGTTGGAACGGCAGATGGCTGTCTGTGTGGGCACCCAGATGTCTCTGTTGTTCCTTCCACCACCCTCTGGAGCCAAGTGAGTCCCTTGGGAGTGCATGTTCATTCCAGGGTGGGGGCTGCATCTGCTCTCAGGTACTAACATGTAAATCTATGTCTGCTTGGATTCATCTGAAGACATCCACACCACAGGCTCACGCCCGGTTGGACAATGTACTTATCCTCTCCTGGAAGTTTTGACATGAGGCCTACTAAAGAGAAAACGATAAACTGCTTTCAATTACTGGCAACATAACTTCTTGTGCTGTCTTTTTTCTCCTCTAGGATATGAAGTAAATGTGTGAATATTCTCCATGGGCCCTGATATCATAAGGGATTGTCAAATGCCTTGTTTGTCAAATGTCAAACTAGAGGAGGGAGACTGTATATTCAGATAAAAATATGGGTTAAACAGGAAAACACACTGTTCTTGGTAGAGTTTATGGTGGTGGGAGAGTGGGGAGAATATAAAGGCAATATACGGTAGTCACGAGGCTAAATGCCCATGTGTTGCTCCCCAAAATTTAGCTTCCTGTTATATGTGTGGAGGTGACACATACAGATATTTTCCTAGAATCCAAAAGAACATAAAGTTTGAAAGACTACACCTTCTCAGAAGGCTTCATTCCTTTTTTGCTTCCATTTAAATTTCCAAATGTAGGGCCGGGGATTTAGCTCAGTGGTTTCGCTGCCTGCTGCGCAAGCGCAAGGACCTGAGTTCGATCCCCAATACCAATAAATAAATAAATAAAATAAATTTCCAAATGTTATGTGGATGTTTGTGCTAAGATAAGTATTTGCTATTTTATTTTTATATGTAGGAAGTTCGTTTATGGTAGATCCTTTGATCGATTTTTTAAAATTTTTCATTTTCACCACTACCATGTGACTTTCAGACTCAGCACAGAAATATGCAGAGGGATAAAGATTTGCCTTTTTTTTCCCCCTTAGGATGATAAGCATGTTAGTAAAACATGAATCTAGAAGTTGGACACATGTCTTAGCAAAATTATTATCTGTGACTTGGGGAAAAAATTATTGTGGTTTAGCATTTTTATTAATGAACATTCCTCTAAAAATCATTTTAAAAAATAAACATCTGATTACACATGATTAAACTCAGCCCAGAAATCAATCCGAAGGACAGTAAAAAATATTTCAGCAATCACAAATCTTGTTAATAGAACTTCCATCCCCGTCCCCATTATGATCTGATAACTCTTTTTATCTGAGAATCATTCACATTAATCTCCACAAAAGCACTAATTCTGAAATCTGGGTTTTTGGGGGGGTTTTTTGGTACCAAGGATTGAACTTGAGACCTTGGGCCAGAGAGGAAATTCTGAAATCTTAAAGGCTTTACAATTATTATTCATAATTTTAAGACATCATTATACCAGCCCAAATTTTGTACCTTTGCAGGCGTCCACTCCCCCACGTGACCTCCGTGCCTGGGCCTCTTCCTAAATTCACATCCGGGCTGCAGTGCCCAGCTTCTGCGAGAGAGGGCAGGGCTTTGCTACAACCACATTTTACACATAGCAACCAACGGGAACCTCAGCGGCTAAGGTACGCAGATCTGACCTGAAGAGACGCACATACCTTCCACTTTATAGCTGCCCTCCTGCCTTCTCCTCAGGCAGTGTAATGAAGAGGAGGAATCTAACTTCCCTGAGGGCTCCCTTAAATGGCTGGATAACAATCCAAAAATGCAGGGGAATTAAAATCTTTCAAGGGATTAGAGCACAGGAGAAGATCTTTCTCCAGTGCCCCTTCCTCCCACCTCCCCACTCAATGAATTGTTTCAAAGTGACAGGCAGGATGCAGCAACTACTGTTCCCTTGTGCAGCTATGACCAGCTGTCTAACACGCCACCCATTATTCGCATTCCTTCCGGTCCTGCCTCACTTCTCCTTCCCCCTGGACTGTCTACCCTTGGGATTGCACCTCCCAACAAAGCCTAAACCATAATCTTTGCCTCGGGTTTTATTCTGTAAAGAATCTGGCTAAGACAAGTTTTGTTGTTTTTTTTTTTCTTCAATGTTCTCCCTCCAGTTTGGCTTCTTGCCTACAGTCCATTTCCTTTTTAGTAAGACGGAGGAATGAAGATCTTTAATTCTTGTTAAGGTTAACCAGAAGTGTGTCTAGGTTAGGAATCTCTTTCCTGAGTCTCATCTGATTCTCCAGTGCATTTAATCTCACAGTATGGTTGGATAATGTCTGCGGGTGTGGCACGGTGACATCGTACATGCTTAGCACACATGAGGCACTGGGTTCAATCTTCATTACCGAAAGAAAAAAATAAAACTGGATGCTAGTATTTTCTTTTTCCTTTAGGTATTTCCAAACTGCTTGCTGACCTTCATCTTACTATCTGTGTTGCTATCCTCCGTCTTCCTGGTATCCTTGACACCTATTTTGCATTCGTGGAATTCCAGAAATGTACCTAAGATAAAGTCAGATCAAACAGATATCTCACAACCTTTGGATTCAAGATGTTCCATTTTGTGGAAAATGTGTAACTGTTAATCAGCAGCGGAGGAGTGTCCTCTGCCAAGCGCCATGTGGTATTCCCGGATTGTAAACAGACACTATACACCAGCGGGGAGACAGAAAGAGGAGCCCCAAGATTTTTCCACTTCTTTCTTTAATGGGCCAGATAGTATCTTGTTATGGAGGGGTGTGGAAGAGGAGAATGCTTTTTAGATGCTTTGTCTTTTTACTCTTTCTGCTCAATGCAAAAGTCAGAACCTTTAATGCCAGACAGAATATTCAAGCTGCCATTTTAATGAGTAAGAATTCTTCAGGAAGTTCACACAGCTAATCCATAGGTGAAATCCACCGGGAGTAACTTCTGGGATTACAATAAAACAGAAAAACCCAGGGGCTCTTTGACCCTGAGCCATCATCCTAAGAAGAGAGGATGGTTTCATTACATTTTGAGATTTAGAATGAGCTGAGAAGACAAAGTTAGACATCAATAAATTATGTTTCACAGTACGCGTTCACATAATCCAGTGGCTCTGCTTTTTCTTTTTTCTGTGTGAAGCTAATACTTGATTAAGGGTATTTAATTTCACTGGCTATAATGAACTTAATATTATGGTTGAAAAATAAGATTTAAAAATAGGTTACAAAGTCACCTTAAAAATGGGTAAGGAATAGTCAAGCCATAGAAAAAGAAATTCAAACAGGTTCAAACCTACAAAAAATCCTTAGTTGGATCCTTAACAAGAAGCACAAAGTTACCATGAGATAACAATATCCATCTGTCAGATTAGAAAAGTATGTTTTGTTTTTTTTTAAGACAGGGTCTCGATTTGTAGTTTAGTCTGGCCTTGAACTCACCACGGAGCCCAGACAGGCCTCAAGCTTACAGTGATCCTCCAGTCTCAGCCTCCTGAGACTGGAGGTGTGTGCACAGGGTTTTCAAGCTTACTCTATCAGTGTATGGAGAAACAAATTACTGGTGGGAATGAAAACTATTATAATATTCTGAGAGGGCATTTGGATGAGACCTATTGAAATTATAAACTCACACCTGACTAAACAATTCCACTTTTAAGAATTTATCATTTAGATGATACTCACATAAGAAACAGGTATGTACTAGGAGGCTGAGACAGGAGGATTCTGAGTTTGAGCACAACCTGGGTAATTTAGACTCTGTCTTAAAATAAAAAATACAAAGGAACTGGAATTGTAGGTCAGTGTAAAGGCTCTATGTTCAATCCATAGTACAGGGAACAAAAAAAGATGGGAGAATGTGTAAATGTATATTTGTTGCTGTTATTGTTTCCAGGAATGTTGAGCAAACTCAATATCAAGCAATACATAGACTGTATAATGTAGAATATTATATAGCCATTAAAAAGAATGTAGAAGCAAAATTTTAAAAAAAGAATGTAGAAGCTTTGTGTTTTGTTATGATCCCATCTCCAAAATTTAAGTGAAAAATCAAATTGCATTCCTATATGTTTAGCCTGCTATAATTATGTAATAATATCATCTCCATAAATGCATATGCCTTGTGTTTGTGTAGACTCTCTGGACAGATGCACTAGGAAGCTAGTTAACAGTGGTTATATTGAAGGAGAACTATGTGGTCAGCAGGTACTTTTACTATATGTCATTTCCTTCTTTTTTCATTTTATTTTATGCACAAGTATCACTGTTCTGCCCCACATCAGTAATGGTTTATTTTATTAAAGTTTTATTTTACCTTTAATTGGCACCTCATAATTACATATATTTATGGGCCACACTGTGATTTTTGATAGCTTCTACCTTCGATATTGGTTAAAGCAGAGTAATTAGTATTTCTACCCCCTCAAACATTTATCATGTCTTTGTGGCAAGAACATTCAAAATCCTTTCTTTTAGCTATTTTGAAAACGATGCTTTTTTGAAGAAGAGGAAATCAGTATAATAAATGCAGGTGTCTGAAATGGGGCTTTTATCTAATTTGTGAGTAAGTACTCTGTAGTGTACAAAATCTGAGAGCAGCAGACATTTCCTTGGAAGCGAATAAAGTCACCTTTCACGATTAAATCAGAAATTAGAATTATTCATTGGCAGCCCCCTTTACTTTATAATAAATGGATAAATCTTTGTTGCCTTCTTTTCATAACTAACTGACTCTTCCTTGTTAGCACAACCATGTTTCTACTTGTTTTCCTGGAGCTCTTTGCAGTCATCTAACCAGTCCATGGAAAAGTTTCCACAAATGCAGGCTGTGGTCTGTGATCCTCACACTGTCCTTAAAATAAGGACTAATTCGTGGAAGGATTAAAAAGGCTAATTCTTCTGGGCTTTGTAATCTCTGCTTTGTGACAAATTTCATCAGTAAGTTTTCCAAGAAACTCACAATATCAGGAAACAAATGAATCAAAACAATTTACTGCAATACCTAAAATGTACCAATGATTCGAATGAACAATCGATAATGCAAAATAGGAAGAAAAGGTCCAAAGGGGTAGGGGTAGTGGGAGGGGCAGGGGAAAGGAAAGAAGGGAAAGGAAAAATGATGAGAAATGGAAAAAATGGAAATAAAGTCTTTGTAAATAGGGAAGGGTGGAGGGGGTGAAGGGAGGGCTAGGAATGGGGAAAATACAAGAGCCAAGATGCATTATGTAAAGGTACAAGTTCCCAATGAGAAATGTAATTGTGTTGTATACCTACAATGTACCAATAAAAGAATTTAACAACAACAAAAAAACCCAAAAAACAATTTACTGCACTACAGCAAATATTTCTATTTGAGAGAACGAATCATTCCTTACGTAAACATACTTCAGAAAGCATATATTATGTCTTCCGTATGTATTTCTGGCTTGTCTCATTATATCACTCTTTACCCATTTAGTTTCCATAAATAAAATGAAGTATTTTGGAGTTCCCTGTTGTAAGGTCAACTCATCCCATCTGGGGTAGGAAGAGCCCCATCAGTCACTGAATAGAAACATCCTTTTGGCCTTGAAAGTTGACAGTGTTCTAACCCTGCCTGAAGTTCTTGGGGAGCAGCACCAGCTCTCAGGAGGCTGAGACTGGAGGATCACTGTAAGCTTGAGGCCTGCCTGGGCTCCATGGTGAGAATAAAATTCGTACTTTTATCTCCCAGAATATCTTGCATGAACTCAGCAAATACACTGAGCAAGGATTTTTAAAAAGGTACGAGGCAGGGCGGGGGATTTAGCTCAGTGGTTCCACTGCCTGCCTCACAAGCGCAGGGTCCCGAGTTTGATCCCCAGTATCAAAAAAAAAAGGTACAAGGCAAAGTCATTTTGGCAAAACTTAGAGCAGTTTCTGATAGATACTAACAAACAATCCTTTTCCAAGAGGATTCCTATGTTGTCCAGGGAAATGCAATGGAGACCCAGATCAGGAAAGGCCCTGACAGTGAGGGGAAAGGTATGAGCAGGGGTCCTACGCCGTTAAATACAGAATGGAGGCTTCAAAGGGCAAAGAAGAAACTGAAAACATGCTCAGCTATTCACTTAGGGTGAGGCTCCTTCTACTGTGCCCCTCCCCCGAGTCAGCAATGGGAGCAACCTCCCCTCTGCTTTTGTTCAGCATGGAAACAGTCCTTTCTTTACAAAATTCACCTTACAGAACAGTGTTTGCAGCCAAACACATGCTAAGGGCACTTTCATACCAAAGGAAACGGGCCCTTGTGTTGGGAATACCACTTCCTTGGCCTAGTTCTTGGCAATTCCCTAGAAGTTTCCCTCCAAAGTGTTCTTCTGATGCTTTTACTCAACTTTCAATTTCTCTGTAGGCTTGAAATTTTGATAACAAACCATTAGAGGAAAGTGCAGTTTCTTTCCCCTAGAGGAATCACTGCGACTGGCATTTAGAATAACATTTTCTTTCTTTCCTGGCTCCAAATGTAGGCATCTCTCAGTACCTCTCCACATGAGGTAAGGTAAGTATTTTGTCATCGTCTATTAATAGGGAGGGATTCTGAGTCACAGAAAGGCTAAGTGAATTTTCTAGCCCCAGAAAGATGACAAACGCTAAGCAGGTTGATTAGTGCATTCGTTTAGGAAAAGGACAACTGGGTTAGTGTAGCCTCATTTTCCTAGATGGTTACAGTTGCTTCCTAACTGGTTTTCCTGCCCCTAGTTGCACCCTCCCCTCCTGTCTACATATCCTTTTGTTACCAGAATTATATTCTGAAATCACATCACACCCCAGCATAAACATCTTTGATGACTTCTCATGGCCTAAAAAACTATTCCAAACTCTTGAGCATGCCATCCGAAGCCCATCTCCAGGGCTCTGAACTACCTTCCTTGGGTTCTTTGCCCTCCATACTGCTCCCTCGCATGCCAGTGATCACGCACATCTATCTCTCCAAACCTTGGCTCATGGGGGTTCTCTTTTGCCTGGATTACCTTTCTTCTGTTTCTTGCTACTATGGTTTGGATCTTAAATGTCCCCCAAAGGCTACGTGTTGAAGGTTTGTTCCCCAGCCTGTGGCACTACTGGGAGGAGGTGGAACCTTCAGGAGCTGGGTCCTGGTGGAATCAAGTTAGGGTCCTGGGGGCACGCCCTGCAAGGGGGTGCGGGACTCCAGCCCCTTCCTTTTTCTTTGCTTTCTGACCACCAGGTGGTGAGCAGCTTTCTCTGCCTTGGGCTCCCTGTCATGATGCTCTCTCTGCCTTGCCCCAGGTCCAAAAGCAATCAAGTCAGCTGACAGTGGCCTGAAACTTTTGAAACCCTGAGACGAAACAACCGTTTTTCTTTTAAGTTGATTTTTCTTGTGTGTTTGTCACACCAAGAGAGAGCTAACACATTCAAGGATGGGGGAGAGGGAGAAATCTGCCTACCCACAAGTATCCAACTCAGATACCACCTTCTCTGGGTCACTTCCCAGTACCACTACCACTTCCCCTTCAGCCCAAGGTAGATGAACCACTTCTTCCTCTTGTTCCCACAGCACTTCCTTCCTACTGCAATTGCCACTTACTACGTTACAGCCTAGCTACCTAGGCATGTGTCTAACTTCCTCAATCAGACTTTTTGTGAGAGCAAGGCCTGAACCTTAATCTTACTCATTTTCATATGTTCTGGTAGTCATTTCAGTCCTACAAATGCATTTGCTTCTCTATAAACACTTGACACTGTTATTAAAAGATTTTTTTTCCATACTAGGGATTGAACCCAGGGCCTTCACACTTGAGCTGCATTCCTGGCCTTTTTTCTTTCCCCCTGAGATGGGGGTCTCACTAAATTGCCCAGGCTAGGCTTGAACTTGCAATCCTGCTGCCTCTGCTCAGAGGTGCTGGGATTACAGGTGTGCACCACCATGCTCAGCACATGCTCACTTTCTTTTAGGCAAACCCATAAGCAGACCTGGGTCTGGTTTCAGGCTTCCTGAATGAACGCAGTGTACACCAGTTCGAGAGTTATGGCTGCAAGGGCAAGCAGACGAGTTATATCTAGCATTGCATTTTTCTGTTATGAAGTTCTGATACTTGTGGGTAAGGGCTACTTCCTTCCAGTGAACCTTTAAGATATTTCTACACTTGCTAACTAGAGCTGATGGGTGAGGAACCCTGCTCTCGGAGCTATCTTTTGGAGCTTCTCAAAGTGGGCCATTTGTGTAAGCCTCTGGCTGCTGGACTAACCCAGACTTGCTGAATCACAGCCCCTGTCGGGGAGGCCAGGGCATGGACTGAGTATCTCTAGGGGCTTCTAGATTTTTAATTTTGAGACTCACCAATCTGCCTAGGATGCTCTCATGCATCCTGGAACCCTCCACCTAGACATGGGCTTCAAGGAGATGAGCATTATGAATCCTCCCTAAGCCACTGGCTGTCAAAGCAGCTCACACAGTGGAATTCTCTGAGGAGTTTTTGAAAAATACCAATACCTCAGACCTGCCTTAGATCAATGAAACTACTGAAGATAGGACTTGGGCATCTGTAATTTTCAGAAGCTTTGCTGCTAAGCCAGTTTGGCTGGAGGGTAAATATCAGATCCTTCTGATCAAATTCAGGGGTCTTGATCTCTTGCAGCTAGAAGTCCCAGATTTAGGTTACTTTCTGTGTTGCACCCCACCCCCCACTCATATAAAATTAAATCTCACACTGAATTTAACTGGACCGACCCTTCCAAAAAGTGTTAACAAATAGGTATAGTCATGCAAACTGTATGCGTCTGGGGAATCATCCTATCTGCCCTTGTACAGCGGACCCTTGACTTACGAACTCAATTCGTTCACAAGGACTTGTAACTCAAGTTGGTCAGTTGAAGGCTCAGCCTTCAAAGTCTCTCTCCTGTACACAGGCAGATCTCAGTGTCCTTAGAGAGACACTGGCCCAGGATTTCTCAATTAACCACACAGGAAAGGATGTTGTAATGTTCCTTCCAGAACTCTTTAAGGGTTAGGTCTGTACTTGAGACCATCTGGAAGCAGCCAGCATTCAGGTCGTAACTCAATACTTTGTTCATAAATTAAAACTAAAATTATGTTTGTAACCCAAGTTGTTCATATGTCAGGCCAGTCAAAACTCGAGGGTCCATTGTAATATGATTAATGACACAAGCACAAACACATGCTGTAGCTCACTAAGCAGTGTTCCAAAGTCAAACACATCAGGATTTTGGTCTCACTGTGGGGCAGTCTCTTGGGTTCCAATCCTGGCTGCCGCACTGTTACATAACATAGGTAGGCTGGCTGCCTTCCTGTGTCTCTGTCATAGAAGATTTGTGGTTCCTGTCACATCTTTAACAATCAGATACTTCAAACCCAACACTTTCAACAACAGAAATAATTTTCTAACATCCTTTATGCTAAATAAAAAATCTCTCAGTTAGGGCCGGGGATTTAGCTCAGTGGTTTCACCGCCTACTGCACAAGCGCAAGGACCCGAGTTTGATCCCCAGTACCAAAAAACAAAAACCTCTCAGCTCACCAAGTGGATTCACATTGAAGAATGTTACAGCTAAACAGCCATCCCTAAATATCCAAATTACTTACAAAGTAAGTTACCATCCTGACGACATAGCAAAAGGGCTGAAGAGAATCCCACCATAACAAAAGCTTTTCAGGCCAGGTATTTAGCTCAGTGGTTCTGCCACCTGCCTCACAAGCACAAGGTTCTGAGTTCAATCCTCTGTACCAAAACAGACAAACAAACACATAATAAAGGCTTTTCCCTGGGAGACTAGCTAGGTAGGAGAATAACCTGGAAAGGATTCTAAACTTTGGAAGTTTGAAAGAGAAATCTAGAACTTTTGATGGGTCCAGGAAAGCCTATGGGCTTACAGCAAAGAATGTACACTTGTCAGACACTTAATAACAATCTTGGAATCACACATGTGTAAAAATCACTATAGAAACTGTGGTAGGCGGGTGGTCTGTGTACTCAAAGCCAGATATTCTTCTACGATGCAGCTCCTGGCAGTCTTCCTCACTGATGCATGGAAGATTCCTTCCTATCACAGGACAGTGGCT